GCTGCAGGCCTGAGATGTATATCTTTCTGGGCCATTGCTATCCAACTTCAAACTTCATTCATCGGTTGCTTTCGCAATGGAGGGGAACTTTATTTACCAAACCAAGTTGTTCAACACATAAAGCCAGACAGCCTGCTCCATCGTTCTCGTGCTATGTGCGAGCTTTCAAGCTCAGCTGCTCTGCTTGAATTTGTTGAGCATGTCTCCGATGAAACTTCAACTGAGGGGCACCACCAATACTCATACCCATTCATACCCCTAAGCCTTAAACTTCAGTCTAGACCCTGAAAGCAACCCCTTGACAGAGCCCGTTGAAAGGGACCCTGTAAAACAGCCCTGTACAGCAATCTTCTTTGCCCTCTTAGCGCCCTAAACCCTAAACCCTAAACAGCATCACCAAAGCCTGAAACCTGAAGGTTCGCTGCACAGGGTTTCATGTCGGAAAGCCCAGGCAGCAAGCTCGAGCTGCGCTGCTGTACTTTGGTAAATGTATGCCGAACCCTGCCGCCATAACCTCAGCTCGCTTGTAGGTTTAAGGTTTGGGATTCAGGGTTTGCCTAGCCCTACGGCCCAAGATCGCCAAACAGCCTTACTTATGTGGAATGGTCTTGGGACCCGAAGACATAGCTTCTGCTGCATCCTAAAGTAGATCACTATGTACTAAACTTACTAAACCTTCAATGCTGAATGTAGCCATCAAGCCCCAAATCCTGAAGTCCCTTGTAAAACTTTAACAGCCCCATAAACACTCAACGCCTGAGCCTCAAATAGCAGACTTCCCGGATGCCACCCCTTTGAGCAGCAAAGCCCCAATACTGCACCGTAGACTGGCCGAGTCAGGGGGGTTACGTCTATTTCATGCTGTCATGCGCTGTGAAATCCCGCTTGGGTGCCTTCAAGTTGTGCTTATTTTGGAACAGGAAACCCTTTTGATTAATTGCAATACAGATCTTCAGCAAGTGGGCTACTCTAGAACCCCTAAACACTACAAGCCACAAGCGCTAAACCGTAAATCCTAAAAGCCCCACACCTTGAGTTTCCCAGCTGGCGGTTGGGCAAGGAGGCGTCCGATTTTCTCTCCCAACCTGGAGGAAAGTTCGTAGCACCCCACGGTAGCCTTGAGGACCAAAGGAACGGTTTAGGGCTTTAGTGTTTTGGGTCTAAGGTTTTAGAAATTGCGGCTTAGGCATTGTAGGGCTTATGCTGTAGAATGGGAATTTGGTCCTGAAGGAAGTCCTCTGAAAGGCGACAGCCAGGACGAAGTCCTGACGAACGCTGTTTAGGGTTCTTCACCCTAAACCTTTCCATCCGTCAGGCCACTAATTTAGCCCGGATGCTTCGCAATTACCGTTGTGGATTCGGCGCTTATAGGGCCTGAGCTTCGGGCAGAGTTGTAGGTTGAAGAGGCCTTCTTGCAGAGAGCGCATCTGCGATTTCAACTGCCAGCGCTCTTCAGACGGAACTTGTCGGGCAGTGTGCTAGCCGAGGAAGCTTTATCCTCTTTCCCTAAGGGTCCATGTACCAATATAGGGGTGGTTGTCAAAATTATGGCTTTTGGGGTCCCTATTATAATACGGCACCTGTTACTTAGGGTACCCAAAAAGGGACCCTAATTTTGACAACCACCTATAGTAGTTACTTAATAGGTATTTGGGCTGCCAAAGTGGTTGCTACACTGTTACTGGGACGCTTTGGGTTTTAAAGCCTGCATCAAGCAGGCATCCCATAAGACCATGGAGCCTGCAACGGGAGAACAAAAGATTCCAGCGACTGCAGTTCCTCGGAGTATCAGGGTTCCAGGTCCCGGGAACACCTATTTTGGGGTCCCTGGCAAGCGCTAAACAGTTGCCGCAAAATTACCGGGTGACCATGCGTGTGTTCTGGCCCTAAATTTACCAACACGTGCTGACACCACCACTACCAGGAGCAAGGGGCACAACAGTCCCACCCGCCCGCCCGCCCGCCCCACCCACTCACCCACCCACCCACCAACCCACCCACCCACTGAAACAAACAGAAGAAACTCCGACGCAGCTTTGCTCAGTTTGCCGGATAGTGTTAGTTGTGATTGCTTGTTTGCGTTTCGTTGTTGTTTGATGAAAATGCTGGTCATATCTTCATGTCAATGTAGCATGCGAATATTCTCGGAGTCGCATGACACCCTCATAAGAATTTTGCTCGCAGACCTGGCTCTGCAGGTGGAGGAAGATTTCCACACTGAAATGTCCTTCAACCCATGAGTCTCAACCTGAGCCCTAAAGCTCGACAATTGAACCGGGAATCACTGAGTCCGGCAGTTTTCCTGCAAGCTGACCGGCACTCGAGAATCAGAGACTGCGCCGTCCACACAGATCCCAATACACCCCAGACAGATGCGATGACTGCTTGGGAAAATACGCATGACTATAAGATTATACTAATAATAATATATATCCCAAAACCCAGTTTTCATTACCTTACGGGGGATTAGGCTCTGTATACGTGTTCGCTTGCGAGACCCTGAACCCTGCACCTTATAAGCCCTAATTAGCTGGAACCAGACTGACCTACCTTTGTAAGGTCTCATATAAGGAAATCTTAGCATGGAGCTCTAAAAAGGTAGGTTCTGTGAGATCCATGTTGAACCCGCAAGCCTCAGCCCTGCTCCTTCTTGAGGCAAGAAAGACGAAAAGCGACTCAAAGCAGAGCCACGGTTTAGGATTTGGGTAGTTGTCAAAATTAGAGTCCCTTCTTGGGGGTCCCTAGTATAGTACGGCACCTAATATTTAGGGTACCCCAAAAAGGGACCTTAATTTTGACAACCACCTTTTTTTTGCGTTTGGGGCCGAAACCCTCCACCGCTCCAAGTTTCGGCTTCGAGGCTTCTGGGCCTCAACCCCGAAGCCTAACGAGGATGCCCAGTAGTACCCTTAGGGATCTATAAGGGTTCCTTAAAGGGATCTATAAGGGTTCCTTAAAGGGATCTATAAGGGTTCCTTAAAGGGATCTATAAGGGTTCCTTAAAGGGATCTATAAGGGTTCCTTAAAGGGATCTATAAGGGTTCCTTAAAGGGATCTATAAGGGTTCCTTAAAGGGTATCCAAGCTAAACTTCGCTCCTCAGGAAAAGGAATGAGCCCTCGACCCCAAACCGTCAACCCTGAACCCTAAACCCAAAGCCCCTAAACTCTGAACCATACTTAATCCCTAAACCTCTAGACTCTAGACCCTGAACCGTAAACCCTGAACCCTGAGGTACTAAGCCCTAAACCCAAAGCCCCTAAACTCTGAACCATCCCAAATCCCTAAACCTCTAAACCCTAAGCCCTAAACCCGGGACCCTAAACCCTGAACCCTAAGGTACTCAGCCCTAAACCCGAAACCTCTAAACCCTGAACCCTAACCCGAAGCCCGGCTCCTAAACCCTCAACGTTAAAACCTGAGCCCTAAGTTACTAAGCCCCTAAACCCTGAACCATCCTAAATCCCTAAACCTCTAAACCCTAAACCCTGAACCCTTGAAAGGGTGCAGTTCAATTTTAAAAGAAACCTAAACCCTAAACCCTCAACTTTAAACCCTGAGCCCTAAGTTACTAAGCTCCGCAGCTCGAAGCCCGGTTCCAGGGCGCTGGTGTCTCCGCCCTTTAGCGCTGCTGGCCTGGAGGTCCTGAGCCTTGTACCCTAAGGCTCCATGTGCCCATATAGTATATACCTGGGCCTTAAAATACCTATATAGGGACTACTTTGGGGCTTAAGTATCTACTATAAAGGTACATGGAGCCTTTGGTGTAAACTTGTAGAAGCAAAACCCTAATGGTCCAAGTAGTCCTTATTTATGGTTTTTGGTACTTAAGAAGGCCCGGAAGTCCTACAATAGGGAGTACTTGGATCTGGGAAATATATAACAACGGAATCTTTTTACTAATGTTTAATAAACAAAATACATATTTGACAACTTGTAATAATATACATATGTGTTTGTAATATCTGTTTATATATCAATATATATATATATAGAGAGAGAGAGAGAGAGAGAGCTGTTCATACGGTATATAATACCAAGTTATGATCAAGTCGGGGCTGAGGGTTGTGGTTCAGGTTTAGGGAGCTTCAGGAGAGCGGGAGTACTTGGGAATTATTCTCTTGCGTATTGAGAGCTGTATATTATTCTTAGAAGCCGAAAGGTTGTGTATGCGGCTCAACATCATCATGATAAGCCTCAGTATTCTTATCAGCATCGCCATCCTCAGCGGCATCATCGGTGTCAGCAACAGCAGCTTCATCCTCAACCATCTCACACACAGATCATCACCAGTGAGCGCTAAACCCTCACTTCAGAAGAACCTTAACACTATTTGTCTCCTGAAGCTTTTGCAGTACATTCAATACAGACCGTATCCGTTCAGTGCGACTATACGGCAGAGTACGATATCACATTCGATCGTATACATTGTTCTATTCGATCATTCTATAATACACTGTGCTACACTATGCTATACAATATTGTACTCCTGTTTACTATGTTATATTACATATGGCATTGATCTTTTTGCATGACCATGATAGCTCGCACCATCACAGATCAGCTAAGGGCTTCCGAAACCATGTTGCAACTGCTAAGACTGTATCAAGGCTTATGAAGCTGGCAAGGGGCTTAGAAATTGTTCTTGCATGTGTGGCGTCCCTTGTCCCTATATACGAGACCAGGTTCGGACGGGTCTATATCGGTCTCGCCTACTCTTTGAATCTCTTAAGGTATGAGTCCGTATACCCAGAGGGTGAAGGTGTTGGTCTATGGGGCTCACAACTCCTGGTCAGATACTTGTTCTCTTTTGAAAGACGTACTTTGCTGCACTCGGTACTACGGCATGCTCGACCGCAGTTCATTTGGAGCACCAGAGGCTAACACGTGGATACATTCATCGGTAGATCAATGTGGTACTGCCTCATTCATGTAAAGTTCCATGCTGGCCGTTGTGACCGGCTGGTTCAGATCGTTATACCTCGTCTTTTCGCTCCGGCAATGGCAACATCTGCGTCGCTCCTACTACCACTGGCTGCGCTGACCTCATTTCGACTCCCTCTCACAGCTGCCGAGCTATGCGGAAACAGCGACTTTGACTTGGACACCTGCGTTTCTACCGAGGAACCATGCGGGCAGTTGCCGGCAAACACGGACCATCTGACTCTTGTTGGATGCTCGGGCTTCTAACTGATAGCCCATTATGCTGTGAATGTCTGACCTGTGTCCATGTAGGTTCACCACACCCTAAAGGCCTAAACCCCGAAACCACTAAACCCTAAACCCCTAAACCCTACGCACATAAATACATGCATACATACATCTTTACGCACACTTGTGTGTCTATATGTATATATATATATATATATACGTCGGTTTATGTATACAGCCAGGTAGGCAGATAGATACACTTTTGCTTTAGGGTTTAGGGTGGCCAGGGAATTGAACCTGAGGGTCCATGTACCAAAAATAGTAGTTGCTTAATAGGTATTCGGGCCTCCAAAGTGTATGCCATACTATTACTTCGGCTGATGATATAAATCCTGCATTACCCATAATAAGGAACATAGCATAATTGCCATAGTCTAGGGTCCTTAAGGTAATGCAGGATTTATATCATCAACCGTATTACTTGGACCCTTTGGGAACCTGAGGCTACAATTCGGAGCTCGAGTGCGTCGTCGCAGATCTCGACTCTGCGAATTGGGGAACCTTGGGTTCTACTAGCAGCCCCGTTAAAGGGATCTTAAAGGTTCCTTTAAGGGACGCATAGGGGTTAGGGTTTAGGAGACTCCAATATCCCGTAATCAAGGAGTATACCTTCACTTACAGTAGGATCCCTAAAATGATTTAAGGAATCTTCCTTAATTATGGGATAATTGAGTCTCTGGGGTCTGCCTTCGGGTTGTGCTTTTCAAGACGGTATGGACGGATGAAACAGCGTTGTTGGCAGGTAATCAGCTTAAGTTGCAATAATTTGCAAGGAAATCTTCAATCCCTGGTTGTGATAACGTAACCCTAAATCTTGAAAAACACCCTGGAGAAGCCTCACAAAAGCAATATGGCGTTCCCCAAGACTAGGTAGGCCACGGGGATGTGCTATAGGGGTTCCTGGTTGGGTGTTTAAGAGGATTTGGTTCTTATTCAAAACATCTAAGAGCCGTGGAAGACTTAAACAAAGCCCTGCAGAGGGACCCGTAACCTCCTGAATACCAAGCCGCGAGCCCCAAGAAGCCCCGAACCCTCCACCCTCCATCCAAAACCCCTAAACCCTAAACCCTAAACCCCTCCACCCTACATCCTAAACCCTAAATCCTCGAGCCCAGGAATTTGCAAATCGGGGAATTTGACCCAAAGCCACGGTTGCACGCCCTCCCACGCCACGAAGAGGCGGCTCTGCAAGGGTGTTTGGTGTCTTTCAGGCTTTGGAGGTTCTGGGTTTGGGGGTTTAGGGTATAGGGGTTTAGGGTTTAGTGGTTTGGGGGGTTAGGGGTTTAGGGCTTAGGGGTTTAGGGATTTAGGGTTCTTTGGAGGTTTGGGAGTTTAGGGTTTTTTGGGTTAGTGTCTACGTGCTGGCCCTGTTTATAAGAGACCTGATTGAGTTTTGTCTTAAGAATGACCGTGGTTGCTTTGTATTATGATTTCTGGGAAAGATACCTTGTCTTTTTAGGGTTTCGCTTCATCTTATCTTTGCAGATGAGTGGGAAGCCCTGACGTTTCAAGTGCTTTAACAAATCACACCATATGCAAAGGGCTATTACAGGGGTTGGAATGCTAATGCTGGTCGTTAACATTATTTTTCCAACTCTCGTATAGGATGCCCACCTACCCCCGGACCCCCAGTCCATACATCCTGACAACTCTTAAAGTCCTTATATTCTCTTTGGAGTTATCTTTGGGAAATTCACAGGGGCTCCTAGACTCCTTGGTTTAGGGGTTAGGCTGAACGGTCTCGGGTCTTAAGAGTTGCTAAAGCCTCGTGCTCTGCCTTAAGCTTGAAGCCTGCATCTTTAAGGGCTGATAATTGAGAGTCTTACATCCCATAACCAGGGTTTAGGGTTTAGTGGTTTAGGGTTCAGGGGTTTAGGGCTAGGGTTTAGGATCTTGTGAGATTTCGGGAAAGACGGTCACGCATCATCGTCCAAGAGAGGCCAACCGAGTTTTACATCGTGTTGGGCTGCGCGTTGGTGGCCCCGTGTCACGAACTGGCCCGCTTCAAGGTTAGTTTAGAGGCAGGGCGGGCGAGGTGTGAAAGGATTTCCCCTAAATCCTAAGCCCTAAAATTAAGCCCCTAAGCTTTAAGCCCCGAACCTCTCACCCCCTAAACTCTTCAGACTCGAGACAGCTCGGGTTTGCGAGTTCAGAGTCTGAGCAAATATTCTGGGCCTGAAAAACGTGAATGTTATTCCTGGGAGTTAGGGGTTTAGACGTCTAGGGTTTAGGGTCTTTAGGACTCATGGGCTATCGCACACTATTCCCAAAGACCCAGTGTTGAATTTTACGGCCACCGTACTAGACTCGACATTGAGGATTCATGATTTGTGTAATTAGCGGGTTCTGGTGTTTTGCTGGGAGAGACCCTTGACAGCCCAAAGCCTAAACCCTGCCTGGACCCTTAGGATGCTGGAATAAGACCCTGAACTAGCCAGGAACGGAGCCACTTTTGTGGGTCTAAGTAGACGCAATCCAGTGTGCGGTGTAGGAGACTTCACACGGGGTAGAAAGAATAAGCAGCACTATATTCTTTGGGTTTTGCTGCCATGTTTAAATGAGACCCCCTAGAACCCCCAGGGGTTCAGTGTATGGGGTTCGGGGTTCTCAGGACTCATATTCTGAGGATGCCAAGGCACAGCCTATTTTTTCAACTGTGGGGTGTGGGGTGTCAAATTATGAGGGCTTCATATTTGAGGATTTTGAGGCTACGGGCTTGGATTTGTTTTTTAGGATAAACAGCTTGAGGCTCATGCTTTCAGTTTTTTGCCCGAGCGGCACAATGTTTTGGGGTGTTGATAGAGGCTCAGGGCAAGAATGGAAACCCTGCCGGACAGGCAAGATAGGCCAATATCCGACACAAGCGGAACAGCTGTGCCTTGTTTTAGCGTATATACTTCCCAAGCCCTCCACCTTAGGCCCTACCTGGACCCCCAAAGTAGGTAAAACAATGGCACAATACTCATAAAAGACGATTATTCTACATACTTTTGATTTTGGGGTCCAGGTGAAGCTCAAACCCTAGAACGCTGAAATGGGAATTGTCCGTTACGTCCCGTCGTCCTCATGATCCTACGGTTGATGAGATAAGTCTGCATTACCTTAAAGACCCTAAGCTATGGGAATTACGGTATCTTTTGGGTACAGCCCCCACTCAGTAACAGATGGATCATGTTACATGTTCATAATATAGATATATAAGACCCGTACTAGTAGCCCTATTCTAGACTGTTACTGTATGGGGGCCGTACCCAAGGTGAATTTCTAATTTTTCGTAATGCAGGATTTGTATGCTCAACCGTATGTCTGAGTCGTAGCTTCTTTGATAATCGTAGGTTTTTGTTTTTTGTGGTTTTAGGCTCTTAAAGGGATGATAGAAGGTAACCGGAAAGGCCCAGAACGGAGCTGTGATTGAGGGATTGAGTTAAATCCTGCAGCCAAGGTGCATGTCGTCTTGTTGGGACTGGTGCTGACGAGCAGCAGTGAGAGTGGAAAGACACAGAAGCTTCAGTCTCTCATCACAACTGGTTTGTAAGTGAATCTAGGGTCCTTGTACTTTCGCTCAGAATAGGGCCTTTGTGTATATAGTATAGTCTTTTTCAACTACCTAGGAGCCATGGCCTTGGGGGATAGTACCACCTATCATTTCGACCCTGGGGCTCCGGCTTATCAGTTCAGCAGTACAGTATGGGTTCGTGATTCAAGGCTTCAGGGGGCTTTTGTCATGTCAATGTCTGATGCGCAATACTTTGTAAGTATATTGCAGTAGGATTTAGGGCAGCTAGAGAAGCTAAACCCTAAACCCTGTTGTGACGGCGAGGGTGAGTCAGGGCAAACCATGAATCCCAAACCTGTACTACACAAGCATTCCTTGAAAAGGTGGACCCCAATTGATGGATCCATGTAAAGGGCCTCTTGATTCGGAATTTACACAAGAATATACCCCTTTGCAGAGCACCTTAGATTTGGCCCAAATAAAGGGACCTGCTGCAAGAAGTTTCCGGTGCAGATTCAAGTTCGATCAAGTCCACTTTCCCAGAACGTTTTTCTCGCAGTTTTGCATTCGCGACGTATTTCTATTCTAGCCATCCTCCATCTGCCTTCGCTTCACTTTTGTGTATAGATCGAGTGCAGGCTGGCAAAATATTACAAGTGGAAGCTGCGTCTGAACAAGTCGTCGAGCCCTTCAGAAATGGTTGCAAAGAAGCTATGGTTGTAAGGACAGCCTCATCACAGCACGTTGAGCCATGCAGTGTGCCCAAACCCTAGCACAACTCGCCCATACCCGCCTGCTTTGAATCCGAAACGTCCGATGTGAACCAGCACTCTTCGTGTAGTGAGTGCTTTTCAGCGAGTGACCCTAGACCACAAATTGAAATCCTTACCTGTATTTTCCGTTGTAGCTCGTTTTTGGGGGGTTACCTTATATAGCCTTACAAGATCCTAGCGATAAGAGTGGACTTGAAAAGCTTCAATGGAGACTCCAGGTATGGCCCTAAACCGTACCTGAGGTGCACGCGTCAACAAGGCGAAACTCAAAGCAAAAGCTTGACAAAGAGGTAAAGCCGCACATGTGTATGTTCCATATATATATATATATATATATATATACATATGTATATGTAATGCATACATATACATGTGTATGTGAATGAGTGCTTATGCACATGCATGCATGCATGGACACATACATTCATAGTTGCATACGTACGCTCATCCATCCATCCATCCCTCCCTCCCTCCATCCATCCATCTCCCTGCAGGCATGCAGCCATGCAGACGTGCATACGTGCATATGTGCATATGTGCATTTGTGCATACATACACACGTACACACATACCTACATACATACATACATGAATACATGCGTACAAACATACATGCGTACATACATACATACACACTCACTCGCTCAGTCATTCATCCATCCATCCATCCATCCATCCATCCGTCCATTCATTCATTCATTCATTCATTCATTCATTCATTCATTCATTCATTCAGTCGTTCGTTCATGCCTGCATACATACATTCATACATACATACATAGATACAACCGTATAGATGATTGCATGCATACATTAGAAGATAGATTGACACATATTTGCAGATATAGCGTACGCATATGCGCACAGGCATATGTGTAGGAGTATGTACATGCGCACGCACGTTATCAAGCCTCTTCCCCGGAGTCGCAGCGACAACAATGAAAAATGAGAAGCCGAAGTTGGTTAATCCCAGGTCTGGGGTATTCTGGTGGTGCCACTTCTGGGCGAGCCTTCTGGCAAATGTGTTTGTAACCTGGACGACTATCGCTTGGGGACAGTTCCAAGGGCCTCTGAAGCTGAGCCGCACAATGTCGGGGGTTTGAGGTTTAGGAAGTTTAGGGTGTAGGGGCTTAGGGTTTAGGGCTAAAGTTTAGGGGTTTAGGGTGTAGGGGTTGAGGGTTTCGGGGTTTAGGGTTCAGGGGTTTAGGGTTTAAGGGCTGTTTTACAAATTCTGCCTCTGTCTTATGCATGCATCTGTACCCACACACACACACACACACACATATATCCACAAACAAACAGGCAAACAAACAGCCAAGCAACCGCACAACCAATCGAACGCGCAAGCACACAATCAATCAAACCAGAACGTATGCAAGCAATCAAGCAAGCAAGGAAGCCCACGGAGTACATACGGACTTACAGACATACAAACATGCAGACTGAGACAGACAGACCGACGGATAGACAGACTGACTGACTGACTGACTGTGTGTGTGTGTGTTCTGCACCTTCCATGGACAGCATATGACCCCAACAGATTACAGAATGCGTTAGAGAAGATTCAAGGCACCCGGGTTTCAAGAGTTGAAGTATATAGGCCGCAAATGCTAAACGAAAAACAAAAATGCCCAAAACCCTAAACCCCTAAACCCCAAGCTCTGAACCCTTCAGCCGGGTGGAGAGTGTAGGGTGGAGTCTCAGGTGCAGGGTCTACGGCTTGCCTCTAGTCTCCGTTGCAGTTCCTCTTATTATGCTATGAGTCCATGTGCCCAAACTGGAGCTCCGTCAAGGGCACCATATGAGTTCCATAAGGGTGCGATAAGGGTTTAGGGTTTAAGGCTCTGTGTACCTAAGATGGTACATACATTGGTCGTAACGTACCTATATAGGGACTACTTCAAGGCCAACGTATATACTACATGGGCACATGGAACCGTAGGGTTAGTTAACTAGCTGTGTTGCCAGAAACTAACTAAAGCTTTGGCTAACATTAAGGTGAACCAAACCAGAATTACAATAGAGACTCTGGGTATGATCTCGGTCCCTAATTTTAAACCCTGAACTCGAAATCCCTGAATCGAAAACGAGCGGTTTGGGTACACAGCTCCGCGAAGCAAGGGCCCTGGTGCCGTTGACGTCCGTAAACCCTACCCCCCCTTTAGGGCTTAGCGTCTGGGGCTTAACCCTGACGACGCTAGTATAGAAGCACCAATATCCTGGTATTATGTAATCATACAGTAACTTACCCCATCAGCCTGTTCTTATTCTTAAGGCGCCCATGTTAGGTCCCTACTTACAGTAGCCCGTAATAGGTAACCCTTATAGACCCCTTGAACAAAGGGCCCGTCAACAAGTTAAAGGGACCCTATTCGAGTCATTGAGCCCCCGCCATGTTTAGCTGTAGATCCTGACTATGGATCGTTCTGCCGCACCGCTGCACCTTAAACTAGATCCTAGCTAAGGATCGTTGTGCCGCGGTGCTGTGGGTTTCTCTTCGGGAGCGTTGCGGTGGGACTGGTCTACCGGGTACCGCTTCGCGTGGTGAAGAAGCATCTCCCGGACGGTTGTTTTGGGAGTTCCCGAAAAATTATGGGTACCTAAGGGTTCCTTTAAGGGGTTACTAAGAGGGTATTAAACGGGTTGCTTTAAAGGGCTCTATAAGGGTCGAGAGTTTCCGAGAATAGCGGCACCTAATTTTGGGTCCTTATAACAAGGATCCTACTATTTAGGGTACTGTGTTAGGATCCATCATTTTCACAAACTCCCATTATGGGGGGTTCTTGATTGTTGAGGAACTTGGTTCAAGCTGCCACAGAAGGGACCCATAGTAAATAGTAGGCCCTCTTGATGTTGAGGAACTTGGTTTAAGTTACCGCATAAGGAATCCATAGTATACAATGGGCTAACTTGATTCTGGTAACTTAAACTGAGCTGCTTGACAAAAGCCCAGTCTTTTCGAAGGTTCTGGACTTGGGGCTTAGGGTTTAGTAATATCACGGCCCTTTTGGGTTTAGGGTTTATGACTTCCAGAAAACAGTGGACCCTTGTACCGTGACGAGCGGAAGTTCACAAGCAGAACCTCTCTTGTACTTACCCTAAATACAGGCCCTCCTAAACCTTAGCCTTAACCCTAACCTAACGGTCCAAAGTACCCAAAGAGCATATACTTAGGCCCCAAACTACCAATGTAGGGACTACTTTAAGGCCAAAGTGTATACTATTTGGGTACATGGACCCTTAGGGTAAACTTGAATTTGAAGAACCCTCCTGATCAGAGTCAGGGAGAATGGATCCCGGCGAACTAGAAAGACGCGTCTAACCTGAACCGTAAGCCGTAGCTCTGTGTGTAAGGGTATATTTAGGGTTTAGGGTTTAGGGTTAAGGCATCCTACGCCCAGAACCCGAATCCCAACTGTAGCTTTGGGGTTTCATAAGATGTCTAGTTTCGAATTTCATCCCCGAAGACAGAGACGGACGTCCGTCGCTGAGCACCATAACAGGAGTGGTGGTTCACTGCTCTTTGGCTGGCCGGCATTCCATGCATATCTTACGGACTCTTGGTAGCTCAGTTTTGCCAACGTTTCGTTTTGTTCGGTCACAGTGCTCATCACGGTTAGACGTGACAGTCGTGTTGTTTCTTTTGTGAGCTTGGCACGCGGCCCTCAGCCCAAGTTCTCTAAACTCTAAATCCTGAACCCCGATATGAACCTAAACCCTAAACCCTAAGCCCCTAAGTATTAACCCCGAACACTCAAAAGGACTGGTCCTGTCCTACAGCGCTGTGGTCGTTGCCGTGGTCGTCCTTGGCCATTGGTTCGTCAACGGCCTCATCCAACTCGTCCTGGACACGTTGATGCAAATCTTGGACACTTGGCCGCTGTCAGGGAGCCTTTATGACTTTCTGCAGGGTGTCTAAGCCCCAAACCCTGAAGTCTTTAAACCCTACACCCATAAAACGGATCCTTTTCTCCGTCCTCGTTAGCACGGATCCAGGAAACAGCATTCAAAACTTGGCGCGCAGGCTGGCGGCTTCGAGAGAGTTCGGGGTGTCGCAGTCTTACGAAATTATTGTCATTCTTATTACTACTATGATTCGTCTTGTTGTTCTTCTGGTTGTCTTCTGTTTGTATTTTCTAATTTTATGATGCTTGTGATTATTATTATTATTATTATTATTATTATTATTATTATTATTATTATTATTTTTATTATTATTATTAATTATTATTATTATTAATTATTATTATTATTATTATTATTATCATTATTATTATTATCATTATTATTCTTATTATGATTGTGAGTATGACATTATATTTGTTCTTAGGTCTTGTTATTTCTATGATTCGTAGTTGAACTACTGATACTATAGGGGGCCTAAATAATTACCAACACTATTTTGGGGGTTCCTGAATATAGCTATAGTATAATATTCCCCGAAACCTTGTTCTAATTATTCCGGCCCCTATAGTATGCGAGTTTAGGCGCGCCAGCTTCGGAGGTGAGCGTCCGGAACCTTACCAGCTCCTCGTGAATGAGCTGGCGGACCAGCCACCTGAGCCTTCGTTGCTCTAAGGTTTAAGGGTTCAGGGGTTTATCCCTAAACCCTAAACCCATGGGTTTAGGGGTTAAGGTTTAGAGTTTGGGGTTTCGGGTTGTTTAGGCTTCAGCGATCTTTCGTTGAAATCGCAGACGCTTTGGGCCCAAGTGTACCATACGGGAAGCAAAGTATAATATAGGGGCCTGAATCATTAGAATAGGTTTTGGGGCCCACTATACTCTAATTATAATATTCGTATGGGTAGTTATTTAGGCCCCAGAATTGTGCTCTTTGAGTCCTTAGACCCCCAACAGGCTGGTTCACGGTTTTTGGGATAGCGTTATGCCGGAACAGTCAGGATCTTGCAATATTACAGATCTTTCTGCCTCGTCGACCAGTGTGTGCTTGTTCGTTTAACATATCTATCTGTGTCTATGTCTATATCTATAATTAGATACTACCTACTACTAATACCTATATCTAGCAGAGGAGCCTCCGAATCCAAATAAACCCAAACACACCGCATCTTCCAGAAGAAGACGAGGTGATAAACCCTTGACTCCAAAACCCCTCAAATGCCCAAGCCCTAAACCCGTCCTCTTGTAGAACCTCTAGAGCCCCTACTATGGTAACTTCTCAAGCCTCATGAAGCTTAAACCCGTAGACCCTAAACCTGAACTTAAACCCTTAGCAGAACCCTCATAGATCACGCCCCATGAAGCCTAAACTTTAAACCTTGAACCCTCATGGAGCCGTTCTTATCAAGCCCCATGAAGCCGAAACGCTAAACCTTAAACGCGTATAGAACCCTTCAGATCCCTATGAGAGTGTTCGAAAATGTGGGACCCTAATACAGTACCCTAAATAATAGGATCCTTATTACCAGGACCCCCAAAATAAGGCACCTCAGTTTTCGGAAACTACCCTATCGAGCCCCATTCAGCAAGGACCGGACTGGGGTCAGTGCTCAAAGCACTGGCCTCGTCCTGGCGGCACAGAATCCGAGCACAGCAGCCTAGGCTTCCAGTGAGCCAGCCCCGACGGTCATGGGCTCCGGGTTTAGGGCCTTCGGGTTTAGGGCCTTAGGGTTTAGGGCCTTCGGGGTTTAGGGCCTTAGGGTTCAGGGTTCGGGGTTTAGGGTTTGGGGTTTAGGGTTCGAGGGTTTGGGTTTCAGGGTTTGGGGTTTGGAGCTTGGGGTTTAGAGTTCGATTTTCGGGGTCCAGGGTTTAGGGCCATTTGGGTAGGAAATCAACACAGTCGCAGGTGTAGTACTACCCCTTGCAGTGTTTCAAAAATGATTGCTGCCGGTTGAGTGGGGGAGGTGAGCTTGGAGCTGTTGTCCCCGTCATCACGCCTCCTAATTGCAGTCCATGGCTTCAAGTCTCAGTCAGGAGGCCATGGTGAAGATCAGAATCCGTGGAAGCAACAGAATCTCATAGATACCAGGGTCAGGCTGCGAGGTTGTTTACAACTGGTTTATAGTTTATACATACACTCTCCTTTAACCCCTAAACCTTAAACCCTAACCCTTAAACCCCTAAGCCGTAAACCCTAAACCCTAAACCTAAAACCCGAACTAAACCTTAAACCCCAATCTCAAGCCGAAACGTTTGCGGCAGCTCCTCAGATCGGCTTTGCAGTGTGGCTGCGAGTGACTTACCCTATAAGGGCCCGTATGTGGTTTAGGGTTGCCCATGTGTACACATACGGCTGATGTTATCAATCCTGCTCTACCCATAGTGAGGAATAATTCTGCCACAATTCCTTTAGTTAAGGGTCCTTAAGGTCATGCAGGATTTATATCATCAACAGTAGGACGTACTTTTGCCTTAAATAAGACTTTAGGGCCAATGCATTTTTTCATTTTGGGGTACATGGACCCCCTAGGGATACAGGGCTTCAGGAACAATAAGGGATACGAATAGTCTTATTCTGACATCTATATGCAGATGAATGGTGCTGCAAGGAATCTGCCAAGCGAACCAAGCTCCCCCCCAAACTTCGAATTAATTCTGACTCTGCAGCACATGAGTGAAATCTGCAGCCGTGCACATGGAGGGCTGAAACGAGGCCACTGTTTGCAACAAAGCCTTGCCTGCAAAATTCGGTTTGCACTTTGCGGATCGAAGACAGTACATCCAGCAAATTCAACAAAAGGTGTTTGTGTGCCGGGTTTAAGCAAACGTGCAGGGGTGTGGTTTCGAAGTTTTGGCGCCTGCTTTCGGCTATTATGCTCTCGGCTTTGGGGCTCAGGTGTGCAAGGGTCCCGGAATCTAGGACTCCGGGCTTGAAGAGTCTGTTCTAGGTTTCAGGGATTCAGTTGTCGCACTTGTGGTTACCCTAAGGCCCCAAAAGTACTTCCTTTTGGGGGTTCGTATGTAGAATCCTATAAGGTAATCCCAAACAGGCACTACTTTGGGGCCTATGGGTCAATTTGAGCCAGAACCGCAGCTGCGCAAGGAGCTGAGGCTGATGGTGTTCCCAGAGGGCAAGGAGACCACAAAGGTGGCGACGGTCCAGAGTTTGGGGGCTTAGGGTTTCGGGCTCAGGGTTTAGAGTTAATTAAGGGAGACCTGAAAACTACTTAAAGGATCATGGGACTTAGAGATTGGGGTTATAAGTAAGGTAACTGCAGTTATAATTACTTATAACCCCAAATAAGGTACTTATAGCCCCATTTACTCAGTCCTCCAAGTATCGGTAGGGTTTACCCATAGGCCCCAAAGTAGTTCTGTTTTGGAATAACCTTCTAGGGTTCTATATACGAACCCCCAAAAGGAACTACTTTGGGGCCTAGGGTAGAGTTAAGGGAGACCTGAAAACTATCAGTCTAAGTTTCAGGTTTCCTGCCAGGGTGCGGCATGAACCTGTTAACGCCTCATTGAGGCGTCTTTCTTCAGACGTGTTGCTGAGAGTTGTGTTGGGGTTTGTGGGCAATCTTGTGTTGTGAGGCCCTGGTCCAGCCACGTGTCGGGGTTTAGGGTTTATTTTTTGGTTTAGTGTGTGAGACATGTATGTCGTGGCTCGCTTTTGTCGAGTAAAGGGCTTGTTTTTTTCGACCTGCTTGAGGGGGTCCACTGTTTTTTTTTTTTCCTAGGTCTGGCCTGGTCTGGGGGGCCTTGCTAGGTCTGGTCCCATGGTCCCTTGGTCCCCTGGCCCTTTGGTCCTCTGGTCCTGGTCCCCTGGTCCTTTGGTCCTCCGGTCCCCTGGTCCGTGGTCCGCAACGCCAGAAGACAGAAGATTTGACATTGGCATTTCGCACTATTCACACGCGAAACACGACCCTGCAAATTGTAGTGCTCCAATACCTTCATGCAATACACAAGCAAAACCAGACCCTGCGAATGCTAGTTCCCATTAGCTTGATGAAACAATAAAAGACTCTGCAAATTGTAGTTCCCAAATAGCTTGATGCAAAACACAAACAAGGGGATAGGGGTTAAAAAATTAAATAAGGATCAGAAAAATTAAATAAGGATCAAAAAAAGTTAAATAAGGATCAAAAAAAATTAAACGGGTATCCGCGAAAGGAAGGGGAAAAAGGCAGGAAAGAAAGACAGAGAGAGAGAGAGAAGGAGAGAAAGAAGGAAAGAAAGAACGAAAGAAAGAAAGGAAGGAAGAAAGAAAGCAAGGAAGAAAGAAAGAAAGAACGAAAGAAATAACGAAATAAAAACATAAAAAACAACGAAAGAAAGAACAAAAGAAAGAAAGAAACAAAGAAAGAAAGAAAGCCATGCAAGAAATAGAGAAATAAGTAAATAAAGAAAGCTACAAGTAAAGAAAGAAAACAAAAATAGAGAACTAAGTAAATCTAAAGAGGACGAAAGAAAGGACAACATAAAGAAAGAAAGATAGAACGAGAGAGAGAACGAAAGAACGAAAGCAAAAACGAAAGAAAGAACGAAAGCAAGAACGAAAGAAAGAACGAACCTAAGAAAGACCGAAATAAATCAAACCAGTTTGAGATGAACAAAGAAAGAACAGCAGAAAGAAAGAAAAGAAATGAGCGAGCGAAACAAAGAAATAAGTCCAGAATAAAAAAGCAAAGTTGGAACAGACGAAAGAGAAAGAATATGAAAGAATCACAGAAACAAAGATACAAGCAACAGGATGCTACATAGTCCCATCGAATTTACCATAATATCGTAATGTACCGTAACATAATATAACATAATGTAACCTAATGTTATAAAATAAATATACTACATATTATGTTGTAAATATACACACTGTATTGTACTATGTTACAATGTACTACACTATAAACTAAGATGTTGTTTTGTTCTATGTCATCTTCTGTTATATTGTATTGTTGTATTTTAGTAACATGCTATTATATGCTATAAGAAGCAAGGTTCTGTTATGTCAGAAATGTCACACCATTTTTGTGCTGTCGAACCATCTTATGTCGTTCTTCTGGTTTACTATGTTATATATATATATTAGGTTAGAATGCTAACGGAAGAAGAGACACGAACAGGCACGGAAGAACAAAACACCCGCCACCGCGCTTTTCGAGACGTGCAAGCTTGATTCAAAGAGTGTTTTCGAAGCCCATCATGTGAACGTTGTCTCTGCAAATGGGGGGGGCTGCGCCCCCCCCAACCCCCCCGCTGTTTTAAGCCGTGCAAGGTTGCTTTGAAGCATATGCCTTTGTTTGAAACCCAGCAAAAGAGGGCGTCTCCGCCCTTGTAGATACATGCTGAACCAGAATCGCCAAATGAGGGCGTGTTTAAGATAGATGATGAAGCGGAATACCAGCAACAGCTACAACAGGAAATCCGTCCTAAATGTGAAATTGTAAGGAAAATTTGATTTTCCCGAGGAACAACCATATGTTGTCCTTCTGAAAACCTGAAGAAATGACACGAACGCCATAGGTAATAGGAAAATAGGCTTTTCCTACGAAAAATCAAGGAAAACTTAGGGAAATACCACGGAATCCGCAGGAATATCGTGTTTTCCAGAGGAAAAACCAAACAGATCCTAAGGAAACAAAAGAACATCCCTAGGAAAACAGTGTTTTCCCCTGGAAAAATTCAGGAACTGCTGTATTTTAAATGATTTTTTTTGATCCTTATTTTAATTTTTTTTTGATGCCTCTGCCCCAGGAATTGCTGTATTTTGAGTGATTTAGTTTTTTTGATCCTTATTTTAATTTTTTTTGATCTTTCCATTTATTTTTTTTGGATCCTTATTTAATTTTTTTTTGATCCCTCACCCCAAACAAGGCCGACCCCGCAAATTGTAGTTCCCCCATTAGCTTGATGCAAAACACAAGCACAAGAACACACCGCAAATTGTAGTTCCCTGGTGGCTTCATGCAAAAGACAAGCAGATGAACACACCGCAAATTCTAGTTCCCTAATAGCTTCAGGCAGAACACAAGCAGAAGAAGACCCTGCGAATTGTAGTTCCCCAATAGCTTGATGCAAAACACAAGCAACACCGATCCCTGCAAATGCGAACCCCCCAATAGCTTCATGCAAAACACAAAGAAAACCGAACCCTACAGCAACAACAAGAACACCAGCAACAGCAACAACAACAACAAGAACAACTACCACGACGGCAACGACGAGGACGAGGACGAGGACGACGACGACGATGACCTAGATGTCGACAACGACACCAAAAAACAACGCCAGAAGACAGAAGATTTGAAATTGGCATTTCGCACTATTCACACGCGAAACACGACCCTGCAAATTGTAGTGCTCCAATACCTTCATGCAATACACAAGCAAAACCAGACCCTGCGAATGCTAGTTCCCCATTAGCTTGATGAAAAACACAAACAATAAAAGACTCTGCAAATTGTAGTTCCCCAATAGCTTGATGCAAAACACAAACAAGGCCGACCCCGCAAATTGTAGTTCCCCCGTTAGCTTGATGCAAAACACAAGCCCAAGAACACACCGCAAATTGTAGTTCCCTAGTGGCTTCATGCAAAAGACAAGCAGATGAACACACCGCAAATTCTAGTTCCCTAATAGCTTCAAGCAGAACACAAGCAAAA